GAGACTTTTTATTTGACTTCCATTTATGAATATTAAAGTCTATAAATATTGTTATTTGTTGTTAAGTAGTTTTGTGATACATTTTTAAAACTACTAATGTTTTTTCAAACTGGTAAATGTTTTCAAAGCCCCCCTTCTTTCGTCTCTCTGTATTTTTTCAAAGCCCCCCCTTTCAGGTTTTGAAAAATTTGAAGGCCCCCCCAGTTTCTCCTCAATCCCCCCCTATACAATAAATAATGAGCGGTCCCTTAGCATCTTGTAGTTTGTCATGAGTTAATCTATTACATTACTAATTACTTTCATATTCTATCTATAGTATATTGAAATGTATTTTCTATTGTATTGTTAATACTTTTTTAAAAAAACACTCATTGATTATTCATTAGATAAGTTAAAACTAAGACATAAACGTCTTTCAATTAATCAATAAGCGTTGCCGATATCACTGTTGTGTTATCGTCATTGTTGTTGTTATTATTTGTTGTTCTTGATGTTGATGTACGTTCCTGTTGCAGTTTTTGTGAAATTGTCCTTGTGAAATTATCCCAGTAATGTGTTTCAATAAAATTGATTAGGACAAATTGTAGTAATAATACAGCAACTTTATGTGTTTGTAATTTTTGTCACTGAAAAGCCCTTCAGGCGAGGCTCAATAATGTCAATAATCAATAAACAAAAATTGTCCAATAACATGAGCATATTTGACCACGTGCAGGGACTTTATACCTGATAAAATATGTTCTAGTATGTTAACTAAGGGGCTGATTACATGGTGCCGGGCTGGCCCGGTTAACCGGGCTGACTCGTTTGTTTAGGACCTTACTGTGGTTTTAAAACTTGCGTAAAATAAATTTGCGATAAATAATTGGTTTAGTATAGATGCAAAATCATCCTAAACCTGACTCAAAACACATTTTGCGGTCCAAGGAAGATTTTCGTGACATATTTTCAGCCCGGTTAACCGGGCTGGCCCGGTTCATGTAATCAGCCCCTAACATGATTTCAGTAAAGGCACATGTAGTTTTATATAATATTTCATGTTTGTACAAAGTTGAAATGTATGGACTATATATACGAGGTTTACATGAAGATTACTGAGAAAGATATCGATCAAATACATACGAGATTCTGAGGAGAACGCCTAAATATCTAACGTTTTAAGATCCAAACTTCGTTCGCACATTGTTAAGACAGCAAACGTAAACCTATACTTAAATTACACATCTATTACTATGAATGTAAGCTCAAAATGCCTAACCTTCATTCCTCTTTTTGCTCGATCCAATTTACAGCACTTTGCCATGAACAGATCGCTTGAAACGATCGAAATATTGAGCATGCAGTAAATCTTGCATCTGTGTTAAGCTTTGAACTACAAGACCGGTGAGCGCAACTAATTTGCATGCTGAACACGAAGTGCGTAGGTGTTTGCTATTGTAGGTTTAATTGCATATCGTTTGGCAGCTAATTCAACTGTATTCTGCAAACAATACATAACAATGCTCGTGGAAGTCAGAGTCACTCTATTGTAGTCGAGTTTTAAGTTCTACAGAGTGTATCAAAAAAAGCGCAACCTCGGAATTTCCCAAGAAATCGACATTGTTTTAAAGACAAAAGATTTTAGGCGCCTGGGAATTTAAAATAGCATAACTGTCAAAATTACTGCACACACGAGTGCCTAAAGCAAAATTTATGCATTTATTTGAATGCACAACAACAGTAATATGATCTATTAGCAATTCGATTTCA